GTATATATAATTGTTTTCGAACCTTCCGAGAAAATATTCGTATCAAATTATTTAATTAAGTTGTGAATTTACCATTAGTGTTTAATCATAGATATTCTTATTTGTTTACTATTATTTTTTTTAATTTTTTTTTTTTCGGTCATTCCGGAATTCCGGGTAATCCAGGTATCCGGTTCCGGTTTCGAAATCCGGCATTCCTTATTTTCCAATCTACCGTTGAATTGTCTCTAACCAAGTGCGAATGAAATCAATCTTTAACCGCTGAAGTTCCACTTTTGCCGTGTGAGTTAACTAAATCTGTTTTTACACTCAAAAATTTCCAGGTCGAAACGACCGAAAGCCAGTGCTACTTCCGACAACGGCTAAATTTTCAGTCGACATTTGTGTCGCTTTACGACCGGCGCTGAAAGAAATTCGAGCGCTAAGCAATTGCACAGTGGGAGATGAATATTAACATGAAATACACTAATACCAAATCTAAGAAATGTTTAAGGGAACAAGGAAAAACACGCCCAAGAGATACATCGAACTGTGAGTGAGTTCCAGCTCTCAGACGGGTGAAAAAAGTTGTACAGCTGGCTAAATAGACCTAACTAGCTCTCTTAAGTTTGGCGAGATCTTAAGGATACTTCTCAACCTTTTGACTAAATTGAAGCCAAACATTTTACCCAACGTTTCCGAAGAAAATAAAAATTAAATTCTGCAAAAGCGTCCGAGTTAGTCAGAAAAACGTATTTTCAAATAAAATTAAGAAATCAGGATGGTGTCATAATCTCCTATCTGGGCGAGCCCCTTGGGGAAATCTCGCGGCAACCCGTCCTCTTCATATTATTTGCACATTTTGTTTACATCGTGAAAAGTAGTACCAGTATGTGAAGAAAAGAAAAAGATCTTTGGTAAATGGGACTTGTGCTGGCGTCCAGATTTCGGACGAAGGAGTCGTCGTCAAACCAAAATTTGTCATGCATCAAGTTAAAAACGAGGTTTACTTTTATTTACTCAAGTAGCAGCTTTGACACAAAAACATTTACAATGGCCTCGAATCGTTTTTCATTATTTTGTTTTCCTCCACAACGCTTTACTGAGCGATCGAGATGTAAACGTGTCAGCAATGCGTTACTTTTCACGAAAAATCTTGATCCATTGTCATTGACGCCAGGAGGTCCCGTTGTCTCATTGGTTTGCGATTGCAAGAGGCGAGATAATCTCCCGGTGTGGCGCTGGTTGTTTGCAAACCTTTAGAAGGTAAAAGCTCGCATTTTGAGAGGAATAGATACAATTTAGGCGAATTTAAAGAGCGATGTAGATTTTACCAATTTTCGTGAAATTTCGCCAAAGTATTCCAGGTATATTGACAAACCAAGTGTGTTAGGAAATTTTGATATTTGAAATATTTTTCAGGAGGCGTCCATTTACGCAACACGTCTCGCATATTTCAAACTACTCTAACTTTAGATGCGGATATCTGAAGAACCAAACAGTATATCGGAAAAACCCGACACAATTTTGTTGCCTTGAATATAAGGCTGTGCAGCCATTTTACTCTTGCTGTGGGATCTGATACCCGATAAATTCAACAGGACCTTCGGTCGTTTCACGCCTTACTGGCTCCTAAAACTTCCTAAAAAAAGTACGCTTAAATTAAATCTTTATCGTAAATCAAATTTATTAAGCTTTCTTCTGATGCATACTTGTTAGGATTTCCGGATTTTCTTTAAACTCTAGCGCGTATGAATTTTTGCCTGAAGGACACCCGCGAAGGTGGAAAGTAACCTTGGAACAAGACTAGTTGTAACACATACTTTTTAATTAAGGATACTAAAGCACGTTTTTCCATAAAAATCAGCGAATGTGTCATCAAATTCTTCCAGTGCAGATCAGCGACTGCGAAACAAACAGGGTTTAAATGCTCTATCGGTTGAAATTCTAGAATGATTGGAAATGCCTAAGACTAAGTAACTGAACACAAACCAGTTAATGGATTTACCTGTAGCCTTTGAGTAGTGGTCTCAGATGTAAGACAAGATGGCTTCCAGTCTAGTAAAGCTCTTCTGAATCGTAAGCTGTCAATGGTTCTTTGTTGAAGTGGCCATGGGTAGCCTCTCTCTACCAATACCAGCCGAGCCCCGACATGCAAGTGTGAGCCACGAGTGAACTGCAACATTTGCTACCTAAAAGAACAAAAACCAAAAGGACACTAGCCAGTTGTGACGATATGTTTTCCCACCCAAACTGGGAAACTGAACCTTCGCGGACGGCACAACAATAACTGGGAAAATTAACTCGGTAGAGACAACTCGGCGGCGAGAACGGAATCTCGTCACGATTTCCTGGTACACGGAGAACTACTTCTAGCGAGCCTGTACGAACGTCAAGGATGAGACAAACTTTGGTTCCACAGTGAACTTTATTCTAAGTCAGCCCAACAAGTGACCTGACCTTTAGCGCACACAAGCTTGTAATTAAGGATGTAATCAACAAAACTGTATATAACTGAGGTAGCTGCTTACAAGCTAACTGGTGTGAAGTGCTATTGTTATCCAAATCAACTATCTTTAACATCAAAACAAAAGAAGCGGTAACGATTTCTTCGAAGTTAAACGAAAACTACTTAAACATTCCCAACTGTTTCTGCGACGAAAATAATTTCAAATTAAAAGGGCGCATGCAATAAACTCGAGGCCATTAAAAATAGGAAACTTGGTTGAGAATTCACAGCTCTGGTATGGAAAATATGCTTATCTGAATTGCGATAGCGCAGCTTAGAAAGTAACAGTGGAAAAGTAATTAAAAGTTCCTACTTATCTATGCAAGGTTGATGCGGAAACTATCGTAATAATAATAATAACAATAATACACTTTTTTTAGAGAGGGTGGCAGGCAACAGTTGAAGTAACTGATAAACTCGTGGCTCTCTATTCAAAAACTTCTAAAAAGCAATGTATGTTGAATTCTAACATAACTATCAATAAAAACTAGGAATATTTATCTAATAAGAGGACGAATTACGAGTAAAAATAAAATGTAACGTTAACTTGAGAGCAAATGATGAATCATGTGTTAGATTATAAAATGATGTAGTTTCTGCTGTACCTTAAGAAGGTTGTTTTTATAATTGTTCTTAAAAGACTCTAATGACACAGAATTTCTGAGTTCTAGACTTAAACTATTCCAAAGTTTACAGTTAGTGACTGCGAATGATCTACCGCCTTCGATCATACGATTAATTCTTGGGCAAATAAAATTAGTGTTGCTATATCTTGTAGCACGAGCATGTTATCGTATGAAAGGAAATTAAAATTACAAGTTCAACTCAGCCGCCAACCACCATGAGAACCAATTTATTTTTTTTTCCAGAAAGACCATTAACACATATTTACCTAAAAATCTCACAAAGAACGAGCAACAAAAGCACCGAGATGCAGCTGTACAATTTAACTTCGCTATTCAAAATTTACTTGTGGCTTTTCATCTTTTTAAAACATCGCAATAAAAGAAACTCGCATGAATTTTAAACGCTGAGATTCTGAAAACAACGAATAAATATGCTTAGACATCCACTGGGAAAAATCACTAAATTTTCCCGTAACATTGTGTAATATGTTAAAAAATCATCAGGAAAATAAGCTCGTATAAATTTCACTTGTCTAGAATCGTGGCTATTCTCGTAAGTTTCAGTGTCATCCATTTTTCTGGTTACTGTTGGAGAATGCATTTTGCAGGGTTCTTGATTTGGTTTCCTGTTGATGTGGCTCTTTTGTGATTTCATCTAAAACTCACTCCTATTTACTAGGCAAAGAGCTTACCCCCTGGCTGATTAAAATAATAACTTCTCCTCTGTGACTTCTCCCCTCTATTATTATCCAACTACACTTCGTAGAGTACAAATAACGCCATACACGAGTACAAATATCACGCGGTATTTGTACTCTAGAGTACAGGTTAAACAGGTTTTCTCGCATTGTGCAAGCCAAGAGGTTGCATTGTAGTTACGAAAAACAAAAATGGCAGACAATTTGAATCATATTTCCGATGACGAAGAGTCGGAATGGCTGGAAAATATACATCCAAGTTTATTAGATGAGTCCAACGAAGAAAAACAGCTAGACGACCTGGAAATTTCTTCATTTATTGAAGAAAATAGAAACAGCAACACGACAACGCGCCAATTCTGTTCCGCTTCGCATACTTCTGTCACGCACTCCCAGTAAATAAATATCCGCGAAACTCGCCCGCACTGAAATAACAGTTTGGCGTGTTGGATAATAAATAACTTGTTAGACGTTTTGTTGTGTAGTATCGCTGAGTATTTTTACTCGTTATTTTGTATTTTAACGCCCTACGGGCTCGTCAATATACGGCACAACTCGTAAAAATACTCAGCTATACTACACAACAAAACGTCTAATTAACAATTATTCCGCGAGCGCGCGTTGGATATGAGATGATAGATAGCCAACGAGGCGCGTAGCGCCGAGTTGGCTATAACCATCCCATATCCAACAAGCGC